TACCATATAAATGATAGTACTTTTATACTGATAATTAAAGCAATTCGTGTAAAATTATTCCTTAACCATTCCAAAATATCATAAAGCACAACGTTAATATTCAAGTTTTCAATTCTGCCGGCACTCCCGGAGTGCACAACCCGTCGTTTTTTTAATTAAGATAAGAATAATATTCAGTCATAAAATCGATAACCCTGAGTGTCCACGACCACAGACAGACAGAATAATACAGTTATGTTAAACTTTTGTAAATTTACCATTCTCTCCACACTGTAAGGTTGGGAATTGTTTGACTAATATGCATGCACATAACTTAAAAGGTTAAGGGTTTGGATTACTTCAGACAGAAATGTATAATTTTAATGTCTGGTATCTGGAACAGAGTAATTGACGTACACTTTTCATAAAAAGCAACGTAGTCATGTAAATCGTACATAACATGAACAAACTAAGACTAATAAATAGCCATGAGAGTGCGACATACATTAAGATGAGCCGTTTTAGTAATCCTATGTAGTAGTGGTCATTTTAAATTTAGCAATGTCCGTTGTCAATTAAGGTATTGAGTTAGATTGGAAATGTACTTTGAAGGTCAGAGGCTACATCGATACCTATCCTATGCATTTCTTTTGTCTTAGAATAAAAGTGGTAGAACAAGTTCTTCTATGCCTATAATGTCATAATGTCGCGATTACCAGCTAGAGTTAGAATTAAAACAAACAAGGTTGTTTTTAAGCTAGCTAAACAGACGGAATGTAGCTAAATATCACAATTCAGTTAACGCTTTCTATAAGGCGAGACGCGGCCAAACAATAGCCTATTTATTAATGTTTTAAAATAGAATAAACTTGAATGCAGTTGACATAACTTCTATAAAACTGCCAAAGTCAATTAGATTGCAATTATCTTGAATCCAATAATCCAAAAGACTACATCGAAATCAATCATCGTGATCAAAACAGATTGACGCAAACTCGGAGTCCTGAACAAGGTACGGCGTTTTTTCACACCCAATCAACTGTGCTTGTTGTACAAAACGCAAATGTGGTCCTGTGTGGAATATTGCTCGCACCTCTGGAATGGCTCCGCTTAGTACTTATTCGATGCCTTGGATAGGTTGCAGCGGCGCGCTGCCCGCATCATTGGCGATGAAGAGGTAACTAAGAAACTCGAGTCTCTACAATTACGCCGCGATGTGGCATCATTAAGCGCATTCTACCGACTATACCACGGCGAGTGTTCTGAGGAGCTATTCTCCTTTATCCCTCCATCACATTTTCTTCAAAGGACCACGCGCGCTCTCTTTCTTTGCCACCGACTTACTGTGGCCACTATTCCTACACGAACAAAGAAAGGAGATTGCTCAAATTGGCCCAAATGCACAAAAAATATTGACATACACGGTAATTCTTGGCGTAATTTATAATTTTATTTACAGTCATTAGATTTCAACGGACACCTTTGTATAATATATTTACTTTAAAAAGGACTTTTAATTTTACCGGTTTGGAAAACATACGAATCATTTTTAATGGCTATGGGTGTAGTAACATTCAGCCAAAGACTGATCGAAGTTGTTTATATAACATAAAAACAAATCTATTTTGTAAAGATCGATAAAATATTTTTTTTTTATTACACTGTGGTATTAATATCCACAAGTATATTATCATTTTCACTAGATGCAAATGTGCTCAGATAATTATTATAGATGGTAGGCGACATCATTAAGTCTATTGCCATACATTTTTCGCCAAACCTCCATAAACACATTATAATCTGTATATATGTTAGATTTTAAGGTATCTATCTATGGGCCTACGTTCCCTGACTATAAATTAATCCATCCATCCATCAGCCTTTCTCCGTCCACTGCAGGACATAGGCCTCCCCCATAAAACGCCACAATGCGCGGTCCTGCGCTATCCGCATCCAGCGGCTCCCAGAACATTTCACGATGTCGTCAGTCCACCGTGTTGGGGGCCGCCCCACGCTGCGTCGTCCGGTACGTGGTGGCCACTCGAGGACCTTTCTTACCCAACGGTTGCCAGATCCTCGAGCGAATTGGCCTGCCCATTGCCACTTCAGCGTGCTAACTCTTCGGGCTATGTCGTACACACCGGTCCTTCTACGGATCTTCGTATTTCGGATCTTATCACGTAGGGAAACACCGAGCATAGCCCTCTCCATAGCACGCTGCGCGACTTTGAGTTTTGTTATGAGGCCGACATTCAGAGACCACGTCTCAGTCCCATAAGTCATCACTGGTAACACACACTGGTCATAGACCCTTCTTTTCAGGCACTGGGGAATTTTGGCCGTGAGGATGTGCCTAAGCTTTCCGAACGCTGCCCATCCGAGATGGATTCGTCGGTTGACCTCTTTCTCGAAGTTGGATTTACCCAACTGGACTGTTTGTCCTAGGTAGACGTAATGATCGACAACTTCGAGAATCGCATTCCCAACAGATACTGGTGCTGGAGTGACATGGACATTGAACATGACCTTGGTTTTATCCATGTTCATCCTTAAACCAACCCGTTGGGAAACTCTGCTGAGGTCATTGAGCATTGTGCCAAGGTCCTCCAGGGATTCTGCCATAACCACGATATCGTCTGCAAATCGAAGGTGAGTGATGTATTCGCCGTTGATGTTGATGCCGAGTTCGGTCCAATCCAGAAGCTTGAAGACGTCTTCCAATGCAGCGGTGAACAGCGGGAAATTACGTCGCCCTGTCTGACACCCTTCTGCAATGGAATCGGTTTCGTACTTCTCTCCTGGATTCGGACTGACATAGTGGCGTTTCTATACAAACACTTCAACACTTCGATGTATCGATAGTCAATTTGGCACCGCTGGAGGGACTGCAGCACCGCCCAAGTCTCGATCGAATCGAAGGCCTTCTCATAGTCCACATACGCTAGACACAGAGGCCGATTATACTCCTCGGTCCCATTAGAACACTATTAGAAATATTTTTTTATGCTTTATTATTGCTGTGGGCATTTTCAAATTGTCAAGATCTTCTTACAGCACAGCCATTGTATTCATATAACCCCTATAAATTCAAATAACTAACCCTTGTCTTTTAAGGATTAATAAGTATTTTGACGCGGTGTCGCTCAGAACCTACGCCCGCTGATCACACATTATAACAATCATTTTTTTTTCTACGAGACCGGTATACGTTTATAGTTCCGTTCCACGTTATTTTAATTTTGATCTAAAAATACTCTTGAAAATACTTTTATAATTCGTTTTGTATTACTTGGTATGAAATAACCTCAAAAACTTCAAAGTAGAATATCTATAAATCTAGACTTCCTATAATAAAATAAATAAGACGAATCAATTCAAAAATCTAAACTCTATATTTTAACATGTAATTCATTTTAAGCCCGAAAAAATTTTTTCAACAAAAATTTGTATGGGAGTTCGCCATTGTCCTTTTTTATATTACTTTTTTTGTATGTGATATTTTCCTATGGAAATCTATTCGCACTCTTTCTGCGGTCGCGCTCTTTTGAGGAGCTCGATGGTGCAGAACATAAGCTAAGCTAGAATAGGCGATCAAAATTGATTATCAGCACGTTAGTCGTTAGTCCTTGTTGTTTTTACAGTTGTTAGTATCCACCAATCCGCGTTGCGCCGGCGTGGTGGGTCATGGATGACCCAATCTCCATATTCTTTCCGTAGGGAAGGCCTGTGCCTCATAGGTTGTACCTAGTCATGAAGGACTTTTACGTGTTCACATTTTTGTAGGTTTCACTTCACTTCTACCGCATGTGAACAGTACATGTCCGTTTTTTTTATCTCTGTTGTTGGGGACCTGGGCCACAGGCCCGCCGGCCCTGTCCTTAAATCCGGCTCAGAAAAATGGTTTAGGGGATGATTTAATGAGAAATTGGCTGTGGGAATCATATCAAATGATTCCTCGTAACGGAAAGCAGTCCGAAACAAAAACAAATCTCCCCTAGGAAATTCCTCAAAGCGGCCTCTGATGCCATTAAGGAGAAATAGATTTTTTTGATCAGCAATATTTGTAAAATCCTGCGAACCAAACAATGAGGAAAACATGATAATTGGGCACTAAGTTTAAAATAAAATTTTCCGTTAATGTTCTTTACTTGTTCGATTCAATGACTTCTTAATTGTTAGATAAAGGAGGTACTTTGTGTTTAGTTGTAAACATCAAGCAAGCTAATGGTTAATTGCTATTCTTAATAAATTTATACTTAATTATTGAGGTCAGAGTACTGTCTACGTTTGCAATTAAAACATAGGTTTTAGCATAAAGGTATAACAAAATTAGATACTCTATATATGTCGCAGTAATATAGATAAATCTGTAATTTAGTTATATCCCTAGGGATATAATTATATGCCGTAACATAGTTATACGAAAGCGATTCATTACTATATTACTAGGAATATAATTATGAAACGGTTCAAGTGTAGTGATATAATTATATAACTTGAATCAGTTTTGTGAAATAATTGTAGGAGTGGATATGTCATAATTCCGGGTCTTGTCAGAACACGCAACTCTCAAAACAGTTGATTAGTTTTAAGTATTTTACAAACATCAAGTTTGTGCCGGATAGCGCACCTTTTATATCACTATGTTTTGTCTATGAGTTTTTGATACTTTTTTTATTGAGTTTCTTATTCTTTGACATTAAAAATAGATTGTTTTACCTTGTCACTGCCACCACTGTTTTATTTTCTCTAATAATAATTAAAATACAGTCCTTAGCCTCCACATTGTGGTCCTTCCACCGTCTTTGAATCATAAATGGTGGTAGAGACAAGAGCAAGTAAACGTACGCAAGCGATGCAGGGGCAAAATGTTCCGCCCGCTATGTACGGAAACCCCCATACATCAACGCGAAGTCACATCCCCTCAGCTAGTTCTGTTTCAGGGTCAGTTAACTCAACTATAATAGCTCTTGAAGCGGATTACGCACAAAAGGTAGCCGAAATGGAACGTGCAGCTCTTGAACGAGAGCGCGAGGTGATGCAACGAGAGCGTGATGCGTTGCAGCTCCGTATGCAGGCGCAGATCGCTGCTATTGAGGAGCGCAAAAGCTTGCGTAATAGAAGCAGCAGTAAACTCTCAAGCAGACTGTCAAATAAGGATGTGCATAATTGGTTAGATGAATGTTTTAATTCTGCTATCCCTGTTGCTGTAGAAGTACGTGACCAATCTCATGACGTCGGTTTTGAGCAGGTATCGAGTAGTAATCATATTATAGTCAACACGAGGCCTACGTTGCCTAATAGATTGTGTGTAGCTATGAGTGACCCTACTCCACCTAATACGCAGGACAACACAAGGCCTGTAGTGTCTAATAATGTTTGTGTTTCCGCTAACGTACAAAACTCTTCCAGTAACTTAAATGTGGTAAACAGTAAGACTATATGTCATCCTACATCTGCTAATAATGTTGTTAGAACTTTTAACAATATAAGTTCTTTGCGGTCTGATTTACAATGTGTAAATGCTGCTAGTAGTAATACTAATCCTATTGTTAATAATACAAATTTGTCTGATATACAGTTACTTGCTGAAGCAATTACTTCATTAGCTGGCAACAGCAAATCTAAGCCTAAGTTTGGAGATGGACGTCTACCTGTATTCGACGGAAATCCACTGGACTGGTTAGCATTCAAACGCGTTTTTCAAGAAACTATGTCACTTTATTCGTCGGCTGACAATTTACTACGTCTCAGTATGGCTCTTCGAGGAGCCGCACATGAAGCAGTGGCAGTACTTCTTGTTACTGCGCGAGACCCTACCGAAGTCGTGCAGGCTTTGGACCGCAGGTTTGGTAGACCTGAACTAATTGTTATACAGGAAACAGCTACAATTCGAGCTTTACCGCGGATTAATAATGACAGTGCCGATTTGAACAAGTTCGCCTGCCGAGTTTGTAATTGTGTAGAGGTCATTAAGCTGCTTAATCAGAAACCTTATCTAGAGTCACCGGAACTCTATCAGTGTATCCTGAGTAAATTATCACCTTTATTACGAAATCGATGGGCTGATTTTGGATACGCAAACTACATTCACAATAGCGGTATTACGAAGTTAGAACTCCTATCTCGTTTCCTTTCACGGGAGGTAGACCTTCAGCTCCAGTTTGGTGTAATAACAGACAGTTCGATTTCCTTCAAAAAGGTAGAGAAAATCCATGCTTCGAGCTTAAATGACATTCCAGTAATTGCTCACGAATTTAAAAAATCTACGAATTTATCAAATAATTCAGAAATCGTAAATAAATTATGTCCATATTGCGGTAATAATCATACATTGAGTTGTTGTGACATTTTTAATACTTTGTCAATTAATGACAGATGGCAGTTTGTCACGGACAAAAAGCTCTGCCATAAATGCCTGAAAAAAGGTTCGCACAATTATAAAAATTGCAAGATGTCAAAGGAGGTTTGCAAAGTTAAGAGTTGCATGTTCAAACATCACAGACTTTTACACGATCCGACCGCTTTGGTAACTCATGTTAGTGAAAACGATGAGGATATCGAACCTGGTACTTCGGGTGCGAGCCACTCACAGATAGAAAAGCCTTCCGAAGTTTTGCATAAAGATTTTTCTGACATCGTAGCCCACAATACTAGTTCTTTTACCGCCCCGCAAACTAGTTTACGCCCACTGTTGAAAATGATAGCCGTTACCGTAGCGGGTCCACTCGGTACTGTGGACACTTATGCGCTACTTGATGACGGGTCAACGGCTACTTTTATCGACGCTGATCTCGCATCAAAAATAGGAGCAAAGGGACCAGTTTCTAAAATTAAAATAAATTGCATAGGTGGTCTTTCTAAAGACACCTTAGTTGAATATATTGATTTTAATGTTAAAGGTCGTCATAGTAGTGTTGTACACGCTGTCAAAAACGCACGATGTGTAACGTCATTACAGTTAGGACGTCAGACAGTTTGTTTCGACAAAATTTCTAAATTTTCTCATCTGACAGACATTGCTCCGATATTATGTTATGAGAATGTTCAGCCTAAGTTAATTATAGGAATTGATCATTGGGAACTCGCATATCCCCTAGCTGTTAAGAAAGGCTCTAAATCAGAACCGGTTGCTATTAAAACAGCCCTTGGTTGGGTTCTTTTTGGTTGTAATAGTAGCCGAACGAAGCCAGTTGAATTCATAAATCATTCGTTAGTCTCTGATTTATGTAACAATGAGAACGATAATAATTTAGAGGAGCTAATCAAACATCAATATAGTCTGGATTCGATAGGAATCACTAAACGTGCGCCACGTAGTGCAGACGATGAACGAGCTATTAGCATTTTAGAACGTACGGCTAATCGCCTGCCTGACGGCAGATTTGAAGTCGGTCTCTTGTGGAAATCTAACAATACTGTTGCGCCTAATAGTTATGCTCTAGCTCTTTCACGTTTCCTTGGCCTTGAGAAGAAAATGATGAAAGATCCAGCTTATGCCGAGCGTTATAAACAAAATATCCACGACACACTGGCCAAAGGTTATGCAGAAAAGTGCAGTCAGGAACCACCTTTGGACTCAGTTTGTTGGTATTTGCCACATTTTGGCGTGACAAATCCCAACAAACCAAACAAACTGCGTGTTGTTCATGACGCTGCGGCCAAGAGCAACGGCGTTAGCCTTAATAATTTATTGCTTACTGGACCTGATTTGTTACAACCTCTTTTTGATATTTTACTTCGATTCCGGGAAGGAAGAGTAGCTATGACAGCGGATATCAAAGAGATGTTCCCTAGATTCAAAATTATCGAGCACGATAGGGACGCGCAACGTTTTTTATGGAGAGATAGCCCCAAGGACCCTTTAGGTGTTTATAGAATGTCCTCTATGATCTTTGGCGCTGTGTCTAGTCCTTTTACGGCAATGTACATGAAAAATAAAAATGCCCTCGAATTTAAAGAGGAGTTCCCCGAAGCAGCACATGCCATAATTAGTGACGTTTACATGGATGACTATATCGGATCTGTCGAGTCAGCGGATATTGCCGCAGAGCTTGCATCCGACATAGTCAAAATACATGCACGTGCTGGTTTGGAGATGAGAGGCTGGGTGTCAAATGACCCTACTGCTCTTAAATTGTTACCTCGTGAGCTCGTAGAGGAGCGATTTAAAGATAAAAACATTTGCTATAGCGAATACTCTTCGCCTTTTTTATCGCCCCCTGTTCGAGCACTTGGTTTGATTTGGCAACCGATTACGGACACCATTAGTTTTAACACACCCGCTAAAAATAACGATCAGGCTTCACCAGATCGACTAACTAAGAGAAAAGTTTTATCGTTATTAATGCGCGTGTTCGATCCCCTGGGCATTCTGGCTCCTGTTGTCATTCGTGGGCGTATCATGTTCCAGAATGTTTGGCGGATGAACCTTAACTGGGACGCAGTGCTTCCACAACCGGAAGTAGCAGCGTGGAATGAATGGTTCAAAGATTTAATAATTACTTCACAACTGCAAATTCCACGCTGTTATAATATGCAGCTAATAGATCCTGTAGCCATTGAGTTGCATCTGTTCGCAGACGCCAGTGAACAGGCTTATACAGCAGTTGCATACTATCGTTTTTTATACCCAAGCGGACATATACAACTCTCACTAGTGTCTAGTAGATCACGTGTAGCTCCTCTAAAGCCGTCTAGTATTCCTAGGCTAGAGCTTCAGGCGGCTTTAATAGCGGCTCGTTTAGCTAGTACTATAGTAGAGGGCACTAGGTATAAATTTACAAGACGCTTATTCTGGTGTGATTCTATGAACGTCTTGGGTTGGCTCCGCAATGACGCTCGCTGCTACAAACCATTCGTAGCTCATAGGATCGGTGAGATCATCGAACTTACCAATGTCTGTGAATGGCGATGGGTTCCTACACATCTTAATGTTGCTGATGACGCAACGCGCCTCAAGCGGGGAGCCCTTGATAAGGATTCGCGCTGGGTCAAAGGTCCAGAATTTTTATTGACTTCCGATTGGCCTATTGAGCCAGCGATAGTCCGTCCCATCTTAGAAAGTAAGCCTACTCCAAAAGTTTATATTCATCTCACTGTAGAAGAAAATTGTCCCGTTCCACTTACCGCAGACTCATCACGCTTCAGTTCTTGGACCCGTTTACTCCGTTCTACGGCCCAAGCTCATCGCTTTTTATTCTTGTTGCGCATTAGAGCTTTGAAAAAGAGAGGTTTGTGCGTAGACTATTCATGTAGAGTAAGCAAATCCTTTTTCGACTTCGTTCCATTTCCATCGACACCAACTTCACGGAATCAGTGCGATCAGAGCACTCTGACAGCAGATGGCCTCAGATTTGCTGAAATACATATTCTCCGTCAAAGTCAGATTGATTCATTTCCTGAAGACCTAAGAAATATTAGAAATGGGCAGACCTCTGCACCTCGAAGTCGCCTTTCAAAATTACCTTGTTCTTACGATGAAGATCACTTACTCCGCTTATCCTCGCGAATTGTGGCAGCCTTCGGTGTAAGTGAAGAAATGAAGTCTCCCATAATGTTGGATGGTAACCATCACGCTGTCCGCCTTCTTGTATTACATTACCATCGGAAGACGGCCCATGCAAATAATGAGACAGTCATCAATGAGCTACGACAATTATACTGGATCCTGAGCCTCAGAAACACTGTCCGAGCCGTAGCACGCGCATGCCAGTCCTGCCGAATACGTCGGGCTTCAGCTTTCCGACCTGTCATGGGAAATTTACCTCCAGCAAGGTTGGCCCACCACAAACGACCTTTTTCCTTCGTGGGGTTAGATTATTTTGGCCCTATTACGATTTCTATCGGCCGAAGACGCGAGAAGAGGTATGTGGCTCTATACACTTGCCTCACTGTTCGAGCCATACATTTAGAAATAGTGCATTCCCTGTCTACAGATGCTGCTATTATGTCTCTCAGAAGGTTTATTGCGCGTCGTGGAACTCCGTCTGAAATTTACTCCGATAACGGTACTGCTTTCATCGGAGCAAATAGGCAACTGAAACAACTTTACGGCCAAGCGGTTTCCGATTACGCAACATCTGAAATAATTCGCTGGAAATTTATACCCCCTTCAGCACCCTTTATGGGAGGAGCTTGGGAGAGGCTGATCAAATCAGTAAAGACAGCATTGAAAATTTCCCTTGGTGACAGAACTCCATCTGATGAGGTGCTTTCCACTCTTTTGTGTGAAGTAGAGGCGATCGTGAATTCTCGCCCTTTAACCCACGTTCCTACGAACCCTAATGATCAAGAAGCCCTCACACCTCTTCACTTTATCCTGGGTTCATCATCCGGAAGACCATTTCCTGCATCACTACAGCCATCAGATCTCTGCAGCAGGCAAGGCTGGCGCAGAACCTTGGCAATGGCCGACATATTCTGGCAACGGTGGATTAAAGAATATTTGCCAACTCTTTGTCCGAGGCGAGTTCCAGGAAATGTACCAACTCTTAAAGTCGGCGACGTGGTTATCATCGCCGATGGTACCTTACCGAGGTCATCGTGGCCAAGAGGTCGGATCTCAGCCGTTTACCCAGGGAAGGATGGTGTAATTCGGGTAGCAGACGTCTCCACTCCATCAGGAATCCTGCGAAGGCCTCTTAAGAAGCTGATCGCATCCAATTTAAAAAGAAAGGGGACCATGTGCCGGATAGCGCACCTTTTATATCACTATGTTTTGTCTATGAGTTTTTGATACTTTTTTTATTGAGTTTCTTATTATTTGACATTAAAATAGATTGTTTTACCTTGTCACTGCCACCACTGTTTTATTTTCTCTAATAATAATTAAAATACAGTCCTTAGCCTCCACAAAGTTTTTAAATTAATTACTTCTCGCAATTGTATTATTAATGCTAATATACAAAATACGTTCGAAATATTTTTTATTAATAATTAAAATTACTTAATGATAAACATAATATTACTAGATTCCACCCGTAGATTGTAATGAATCGCTTTTGTATAACTATATTTCGTATTTATCTATATTATTGCGACACATACATATATACAAAAGAGCGTACTCTTTCCTTAAAGGCCGGCATCGCATTTGTGATACTCCTGGTGTTGCAAGTGTCCATGGGCGACGGTGATCACTTACCATCAGGTGAGCCGTCTGCTCGTATGCCACCTAAAATAAAAAAAAAAAAATACACACATCTAACTCATTACATAAATTTCTTTAAATTTATTTAAATTAGATATTATCTTAAACCTATTATTGTGTGATTTTCACATTACCTACCTGATTAGCACGAAGTCTACCGGATTTTTTACTTATTATCTTTAGGTATAGGAGGACTATAGGCACTTAATAACATTGTAAGTACGCGTGGTAAAATAATAATCAATTACGTTTGTATTTTTTTACCTATTCGGTTTTTAATAGTTCTTTGCAACAACATCCGCTGTGGAAAATAACATTATGGTGTGAAAAGTCGCAAAATATAGGTTTTCAATTAAATGAGATTTTTTTCCGGTTTCTAACTTTGATAGGTATCGGCTGTACCTAGGGTTACCATTTTTTTCTATCAATACCTCTAAAATGGCAAAAACACGGAAAAAATATAGTATGTGGTTAAAATATTTACTTTATTTTTGAAATGAGTATATTTTTGCTGCTCTATACCCTAATATTTCAGTTTTTATTTTAAGAAAGCTTTTACTGGCAAAACGTCTGTTTTAAGCAAAATACAGTAGTTTCGCCTAGTTTTTTTTTAAATATAGTAAATGTTCGCCTTATATAGTAGGGTACTATATTATAAAGTAGGGTTGGCAACCCTGACTGTACCACTAAATCGAATTTACAATTTACTCATTGGATGAGAATTTAATCCTTCTTAATTTGTTTTCGAGCTTCAAGCAAAAAAACTGCAAAAGGACAAATTTTTTGCGGTGATTTGGCTGTCAAAAGTTACCTATTCCATAGGCTAACCTGCTGGGATTGCGCAAACTCTGATTGCATACATATCACCAACCTATTAATTTCCCCACTGCTGGGGACAGGCCTTCCTTATGTATGGAACAGGGAGATTGTGCCATGACCCACCACGCGGGCCCAGGGCGGATTGGTAGGTGCTAACGACTGCAGATGCAGCCGGGACCAACGGCTTAACGTGCCTTCCGAAGCACGGAGGAGCTCGAGATAGTAAATTTTTAGTCACCCATCCAATGACCGATCACTGCGAGTTGCTTAATTTTAACGACCGCAGCCGAACGCGCTAATCACTTGCATCATCGAGCTCCTATATTACCTAGGACCAAATAACGGTACTTCCCAAAAGCTTTTTTTTTCTTATTCGCTTTTCCTAATGTTTAGACCACAGAGAGATTTGTTTGTGGCATCTGAGTATTTACGAGTCAGTATTAAATCAAGCGCCCCTTATCTATGTGGGTTTGCCACACGTTTCGCGTATTCAAATTCCCATCGCTTTTCACAATAAAAGACAAAATACTAAAATATTATGAAGTGAGTAAGTATACTTATTTACTCAAATCCATGTCCACGCCAATAACAATTGAGCTGACCTCGTTGTACATACATTAACTCCTTTAGAAAGCGTTATGACGATTGCAAATAACAACACTGCATGCATATATGTGTAGATGTCTGATAATACGGATAGTGCATAACCCAATTAAACTTGGAGTTTTCAGTATCTTCTTAGAAACATATTAATTTACGATTATTCTATACTAGCTGTGCCCCGCGGTTTGACCGGCAGTTTATGGATATTTTCCCGCAGTAAAACGTAGCCTCCGTGTTAATCCAGGGTGTCAGCTAACTCCATACCGTATTGAAATCGCTCCTGCCGTTTAGATGTGAAGAAGTAACAAACATACACACTCACAAACTTTCGCCTTTATAATATTAGTGTGAATCTAAAATCTAGTCCATTTAGCTCTTACTTACGTAAGTACGGGCGTGCATTTAAATTTAATCTAGGAGAAAAATTTCGAAAAAGTTTTCTTATTAACGTTTGACTGAAAAATTAAATACGTAGATAATGAATGTGCTTAGGAAAAACCAGTTGTGGGCGAATGCACACTTCTTTTTGATATCGCCATATTTTGTCCATCATTTTGTATATTCTTTATGAAATATATTAGATTTTTCCTTTTGGCTATCAAGGGTGTTTTTCTTTAATACTACTATAGAATAATATAATTTGAACCCGATCTAGTCATGGAAACCAGGCATTCCGCGAATATGTCATATAGATACCCTTGACTTTACGTATTATGCATATTAATTTTGTCCCTTGTTTGGTACATCCCATAGCCAAAGGGTATGATTATATTTTTTATATAACATAATCTACACATTCAAACAGGTACAGATAAGCGTTAATAAACAGGAACAGGTAGGTAGTCGATAATGTGTAAGTATTCTACTCCGGTTGGCCAGTACGAACCAATATCGAATTCGAATAGTTTCCATACAAAATTTGACAATGACATTTTGGACTCGCAAACTATTCGAATTCGATAATGGCTCGTGCTAGGGGTACTGTCAAGGTAGGGACAAACTGTGCCGTACGCAAACTATGCTACGCATTATGTCACCTAAACTACATTTTTTTCATGAAAACTTAATGACTTAGAAACACTTGGCATTGTCATACGCAACATTGCGGACGTGGGTTCAGTTTGTCCCTACCTTTCCAAACAACATATTTTGAAGTGATAACTTCTTATGGGAGGGTAAACCAGTTCGTTACGTAACGCGTTACGGCGCCAGTCTGTCTGGCTTCCCTTCCTCTCACGCATACGGAAGCGGTAGGCAGCCCCTCCTCTCTCACTGTAACCCGCAGCATCGATTAGATTATTTTTATGAATATTGTTGATCGAAGAGTTTAAGTTATCACTTCTGTCGCGCGTCCCGAGACGCACACGCTTTTTTTTATAAAATGTGCCACAACACAACTCTCAAGTCACATTAGCGACGATATTTTATTTATTTATAATCAGGAAAGCACAGGCCTGCAGATAAAAATAATTTGATTAGTAACTTATCTTCATAAATAAAGATTGGTTTATACAAAGTCCACAGGATATAGTTTTAGTGCTAAGTAGGTAATAAACATAAAAAATCCAGTGATAGACCGTTTCATTAGTAATGAAATGAATTTATCTAATGAGTCTGCTTCGGTTTCGGAATACTACAAACTGCTAATATTTCATCTTTAAAAACAAACTCCAACCAATAACACTTTCTAATACCTAATTAACAACTACTCTTATCTGTTATTTTGTCACCAGACAAAAACAAGCATTTTTCTTGCCCTTGCATGGCTGTCAAGAAGATATCTTTACTGTATTTATCATATTTAAAAACAGCAATGATGACCCAAAAAGATGATTTGAAATTCATAGTTTTTATTTACTGCTATCGCATCAACATACATGAAACCTCAAAAGAATTAACCTCTCTAAGTTAAATAATAAAAATTAACGACTTTGCTTTTCTCATTTTTCAGATTTGATGAGAAGGAGAGCATTTCCGGCGTACAGCAGCTGAAGTCTTCGGTGCAGAAGGGGATCCGTGCTCGGCTGCTGGAACTGTACCCACACCTGGAGAACTACATCGATCAAGTGCTGCCCAAGAAGGACACTTTCAGGATTGTCAAATGGTACATTTATTATTTGATGGCATGATTATCTAAACTGTAATTAAATTTAACTTCAGTCTCTCCTTTTCCTTTCTCTATAGATAATGACAAGGATCCACTGTTGTCAAATTTAAGTTTAGCTTTAGAGAATCATGCCAGAATTGACAACATTGTTAAACTATGCCGTCTACAGTGAAAGCGGGGCGAAAACATTTCATTTTGTAAGATAAGTCACGGCAGGAAACTCTAGCGCTGACCGTTTTGCGCAGAAGTAAAAATTAAGATGTGTTGGGGGGAAACGAGGTGCGCGTGTGGGCGTTGCGCCGATTGTCTCTCCAGCCGTACCCTTACGCAGCTATCCCTGACGCGTTTTGTTCAGCGCTAGTGTTACGTGCCGCGACCTGTACAACAATTCTACATAGTAGGTCGCTTAAACAGATTGTAAAGAGCAATTGATATGGCGCTCCTGATGATTGTTGATTAAGATTGGAGAAAAACGAACGTTATCAGTGTGAATCCAAGTATCCTCAGAATATAGTCTGTTATCTCAACCGAGTATGAAGAGATGACTCGCCTTCTTATCAACTAAATTCGTGTCCTATTACTATATTTTTCAATTTAATGTGTTGAAAAATCTTTGAAAACATCTAAGTTTGAAAATATCTTTCAAAGATATCTGACAGATGCATAAATAGAAGCTTCATTAATTCGTGTTTTTTCTGATGATGGAACGAGCGTCATCACCAGAAAAAACGGACCCAGACTTGACAGATGGACCGACAGACGGATGGACGGACAGACGGACAACAAAGAGATGGGTTCTGTGTTTTTCTTTTAAGGTACGGAACCCTAAAAACACGAATTTATAAGCGGGGTTAACAATTGTATCCAGAAGCGGCTGTTGAAAGCATTTTCGTAAACTGGATTTCGTATGAAAAATTAATTTTGTGGCCAATTATAGTAATTTATCTTATTCATTCTAGAACGTTTAGTGCATCCCCATAGTAAGCTTTATTTTGTTTGTCGAAAGTCTCCGAGACCGCCTGTAGTTGAAAACCTATTTGCAAAATAGGAGAGGTCAGGCGTAGCGGATTTTCCGCTCGAATCGGGGCGACCTTCTAGACACGTAACCTCCACCTTACAGAAGACACAGTAAAAGAACACTACCTTTTAGTGGTGTTGTATTTCTGTCGGTGAGTTAGGTTCCAGGGCTCCACGGGGTAGGGGCTTTGGTCAGGGTACGCAATGGCGCGTGTGATACTTTTTGTATCGCAAGCGTCTATAGGCTATGGTGGCCGCTTACCATAAGGCGGGCCAAACGCTGGTTTGCCACGAAAAAAAACCAATGAATGTTGATCCTAAAGAAGTTCCTTTATGGTTTCCAGCCATGACCACATCGAGATAATGGTGAACAGCGCGGGTGAACTGCTCTTCTTTCGCCAACGCGAGGGACCATGGATGCCTACTCTGAGGCTACTACACAAATGTATGTATCTGGTACCTACCTATACATTAAACCATCCATTTATTCTATTATTTTATGAGTTATACGGATTGGTCCGTGGCCACGATAAGTGTTTTACCTACACTCATGTCGAAATATTCGAATTTAAAGATGGTTTTGTAAAGATTATATTATAATGTTTTCTCGCAAATGTGTTGAAAAACGTTGTATGACATTCGTGCGGATTGGTATTACAAACTCGTGACTCGTGGCATTCGTCTACTCGTTTGTAATAACCAACTTACCGCACTTTATCATAAATAACTATGTTTTTATTTCTAAATGGCTTCGCACGGCCTGTGCATTTAGCCAATGTCAAGTGTTAAAATGTTTACAAATACTATAGCACTCGTGGTCAAAGTAATAAGTCAAGTTAAAAAGTAAGTGGCAGTCAAGTCAAACCCCCTTTCCCCATGTTTCAGTAAAAGTGCGGGGATTTACTGGAACCTCCCCGTGGACTTCTTGAGGGAACGTCGAAAGACACTTTCCGCTATTTTGTTTCACTTGCTAACACTTGTGCATGTTCCCGTACACTTAGTGCTTAATAATCCACCATTATAAGACACTAACATCCGCCACAACACAATTTTTAACAAGAAAAACAAAACTGCTAAAGTGACGCTTCCAGATCCCGCCAAAAAGTCCTAAATAACTAATATATCATTATAGAACACTTTTATTTTTTAATTTGTTTAATTAGGATATGATCTGGACTGAATGTGAAAAAAGAGGCACAAGCATTCGTAGTTTCCGCGCTTCCCATACACTGGCGATCGTGTTTTATTTTTGGGATTTCAGAAAAGTTTTGTAAAAATTACTTCTTTGTTACCTACTTTGTTTAATTACAATTGTTCCTATGAGGAAAGATAAAGTAGTGCATGCAACTGTATTAAAACACTCGAGTCAACCTATTATTCTAAATAAACCAGACCCTCGGGTTTTAATACCCCTTCTTATAAGACGATAAGAGAGGCCTTTAGAGGCCGCAGCAAGGTGAGAATGGTTGGTGTAGCAGTTTATAACTGCTGTACCAGCTATCTTCGGGTTTGGATTTTATTAGCCCTCAACATCAAGTGGGGGTAGGAGGCCCCAGATTACAATAAAAAATAAAATAAAAAACAAAAACTACTACATATTATTTAATTTGTTGTATGCATGAAAACTGTAAGAAGCCTATGATTCTTACAAATAACGCGGATTTCTATTGGTAAAAGAATTTTCAAAATCGGTTCAGTCGATTCAGAGATTACCCCCTACAAACTTTACCTCTTTATTTGTATTAGTTAGTAAACATAAATGATCACGAGGAGCTCGATGGCGCAGGTAGATAGCGTGTTCGGCCTGCGGTCGTTGAATATAAGCAACTTTCGCAATGGTGGTTCATTGGATGAGTGACCAAAAACTTATTCGCAGTGTTACCAACCCTCACCAAAATTTTACCCTAAGTATTTTTTAAATTCCCCTAAAATCCCCTAAATATAGAAATTTATATGTACCTACTTATTACCTAAATTCTTTCGTTGCTCATAAATTAAAACGTTACATATTCTGTTACAGTAAATTATTTTATTGAATAAATACATTTTCCGAATGGAAAATCAAACGAAAATGAGCTGACAGGCGGTTAAATCTTATTTAGCTGTTTTGATTGGTGGAAGGCAAAGAACTTTAGTCCATACAGCCTTAGGAAACAACCTGCCACACAGTGAGTTCAGTCGTTTCATATCGTACTGCGTTCCATTCTACGCACAAAACTGAAAGAAAACACACGCTTTGTTTTTCGATTTAATTGCAAGTTTTGTTAAAAGCCCCTAAATGAACCACCAAAAAATTCCAGCCCCTAAAAAAGTCACTTTTAACACTTCTAGCCCCTAAATCTGGGGGCAAAACCCCTAAGTTGGGAACCCTGCTTATTTGACGACCTCCGTAGCCGAGTGGTTTGTACACCGGGTTACAAGGTGTCGCCTACTCGAGAGGTCCCGAGGATATTTGAAAAAACGATTGCTGTCACGCATTAGTAAATACCATGCGATATCCCTATTCCTAGAAAATTGCGTATAAATCTTGCAAAATTCGAGGTTTGGCTCTCGACGATTTTCTTCTCGAAAATTTTACCTATAAAATCATAAGTTGTAATACTATGCCTCTATGTTTTGCTTTTTTGTAAATGCTTAAAAATCTCCACACTAGACGTTTTTAGTGGTGATAAAATTTTGTTTTGTTTGTTTTTGGCATTTTTGATGGCTTCTAGTTTCTTTGAAACACAAGTTATTGAAAAAAGGAAGACAGGTGCATAAAATCAGTAAAAATATATTTTAAACCTGAAAATCAATTCTTTAGTGTTAAAATTCAAGGAGGTCGAGAACGTTTATATGAAAAAAGCATTGCCTGCCTTTCCTCTTAATAGGCTGGTTACAATGATGATGATAGATAAACATTGTTCCCGCAGACCCGTTCTTCCTGCCGATGCAGCAGGTGGACAAGGGCGCGATCCGTTTTGTTCTAAGCGGCGCTAACATCATGTGTCCCGGCCTCACGTCGCCCGGCGCCCGCATGTATGTGGTCGACAAACAACAAGTGGTGGCTGTCATGGCCGAGGGGAAAGAGCATGCGTTAGCTGTGGGGCTTACTGCATTATCTACTGAAGACATGTGAGTGAAATGACCTTTTTTCAGGACGCTATTTATATTGTAATGTTCCCGTAGCTGTGTTCTTCATTGCGTTTCCTACTGATTATCTGTTATATGACTTCCTTTCAGCTAAATAAAACTAGTTTTAACGGGATGCACGAACTTTATTTATTTATTGACGTTTCGCAGCCTTTTCAAGTCTGCATCGTCAGAATAATGATTTTTTATTTCCTTTGTAAACATAGTCAGAATAATGATTTTTTTAAGATAAATAAAGTTCGTGCATTAACCCGTTAAAATTAGTTTATTTAATGAATGATGTGCGTGAAAACCTAAGAAACAAATTTCCTTTCAGCTATTATAAATCCTTAAATAAAACAAGTTTCAACGGTATAGATGCACTGATTTTATTTATTTATTGACGTTTCGCATCCTTTTCAGGATGCGTCGTCTGAATAATGTTTTTATTTACTTTGTCGAGTTACCTTGAAATATCCGAACGCTCAATAAAAGTCTTTCGAAGGATGCGAAACGTCAATAAATAAATAAAATCAGTGCATCTATACCGTTGAAACTTGTTTTATTTAAGGATCGTTTGCGAGTCCGAAATGTCATTGTCAAATGTGTACTGATTTTTAGTTTTCGTTACGTCCGTTGTGGCGCTGCTGTTCAAGTTTTCATACAAAATATGACATTCACATTTCGCACTCGCAAACTATTCGAATTCGATATTGGTTCGTGCTAAGGGTTCTGATCACTTACATGTCTACGGTAGATAGTGCGGTAAGGATCTCTTGGGAATATATAACCACTTTTTACGACTGTCCACTGGAGCGGAGCGAGGCTGCGGAGCAGAGAAACGGAGAAAAGTTAACCAATAGGATTGCACAGAATCTCCGCTACTCTTCAGTAGACAGATTTTGTGCAATCCTATTGGTTAATATTTCTCCGTTTCTCCGCTCCACAGCCGCACTCCGCTCCAGTGGATAGACAGCCTAATAATATTGTAGGCATACACTACGGCAAACTTCTTGAGCGACAGCCATGGACAACGGAGCCTGCGCAGTAACAGTTCTGCATACACAAACTTATACTGCGCAAGTTTGTTTGTCCATGGTTTGCGGTCGTTAGCACCCACTAATACGCACGAGTGGTGGGTCAAGGCCTTATCTCCATATTCCCTCCTTTGTTCCTATTCCTTCGTGGCCTGTGCCACAGCACTGGGGACTTTAGTAGGCTGATGATGATGGTGGATTTTTTTAAGAGTCACAAACACTCTAAATAATATTGATGTTATGATATGTTTGACGACCTCTTTAGCCGAGTGGTTTTTACTCCGGGTTTCATGGTGTCGCCGACTCGAGAGGTCCCGGGTGTGAATCTCGGTGGGGGCAGATGTTTGTGTGATGAATACGAGCATTTGTACTCCAGTCATGGATGTTTAAATATGTATTTCTATATAAATATATTATATATGTACAGTATAATGTATTCTATTCGTTACCCTAGTATCCCATAATACAAGCCTTATAGTGCTTAGCTTGGGGCTAGGCTAATTGGTGTGAGTGTTGGAAATATTTATTTATTAAAATTTCCTGAAATATTAAGTCATCATCAGCCTATTAATATCGTCACTGTTGGGGCACTGTTGTCCCTATGGATGGAATAGGGAGACTGGGCTGTAACGTGACTCACCACACGGGCTCAGTGCGGATTGGTGACTAACGACTACAGATGCAGCCGGGACCAACGGCTTAACATGGCTTCCGAAGCACGGAGGAGCTAAGATAATTAATTTTTGGTCACACATCCAATGACCACCCACTGTGAAAGTTTACTTAACTTCGAATGTCGCAGCCGAACGCGCTAACCACTTGTGCCATTGAGCTCCTCAAACATTAAGTATTTGTTTTTTTTTTAATGTTGCAGAGCTAAAGTGAACAAAGGCGTGGGGATAGAGAACTGTCACTATCTCAACGACGGCCTGTGGCAGATGAAACCCGTGAAGTGAACACACTTAGTCTGAATAACATTATTTTTAAGATTTCTTATTATAAATATACATGAATCATTTACTATCTAACTTTCATTTTTATTCCCATGAGGATCATTACTGGGTCAGCAAATCAACTCAAAATCAACAGTATAATGATCTAATAAGCTTTTTAATTAATAATTTTTTTAAATCATAAATCAATTCATTCGTTACGATTTTATTATAAATATTTTTATGTTAGCCAATATTCACCGGCGGCCGAAACGTGTGACGTCACAGAGCTCGATCGTGGTTCACTCCGGTCGAACTTCAGTACCGTCTCTACGCACGCTCGCGCCCGAGTGCTAGAGCTCTGTCACGTCACAATCACCCGCGGCCAGCCGAAAATTCGTTTAGTAATTTGGTCATAACTTTGTCAATATTTGTCGTAGAACAAAAATTAACCACTGTATCTAAGGAATCCTTAGCTCTATAAATCTGCATTCTCAACTAAAATCGTTACCGATCCTCATTTTTAATTGCCTTCGAAGGCAGACCAAAGGCAGAAGTGGTCACCGTCGCCCATGGACGACATCAGAGGCCCGAATTTTGACAGGTCCGTACGATTACGGACCTGTACGATAATTACGGACCTGCGATACAATTATCGCATCGTCGAAAGTTTCTATGGAAACTAAGCAGCGCCCCTGCCGGACGCAAGAACAAACTAGCTCCTTCCATAGACGCTGACGATGGCGATACGAATACTTTCTCGGTACTTGTTCATGCTTGGGGTACTGTAATGCCAGTGACACAGTCATGCCGCTGCCTTTTGTGGAACACTCTTTAGACTTAGTTTGAAGAGGACCGCGCTATAGTACTGAGGGAATACTGTGGAGGGGGAGCTCATTCCATTACTTTATTGTGCGTGGAAGAAAAGGATCTCTGGAAACGAACAGTGTTGCCAGTTATATATATATATATATTGTGGTGTTGCCCTTCCTGCACCTGGTCTAGGTTCGAATATTGTCTGATGCCTGAACCGTTATTACACAACAACGAAAATAAACGGAGAAATTGGCGGTATGAACTTTCTATTCGTTTGCCTTTCTAGTAATCAGAGAATTATAAACAACAAAAATAGCGCAATGATGTATTCTATCTAATCTGTGGCATTCTTCGTATGAATTACATTTAAAAAAATGTATTTTTCACATTTTCAAACAGGGCTAGATATGTGATTTCCGTTTTTTGCGTTATAAATATAAATGATTACTATGTTTTTTCTATTCTGAGGTTATGAGATTTTATGGGGTTTCCTAGTGGTTTTCTGTATTCAAACATGAAACGGCTCGGGGGCATTTTTGGGACAACCCCTTTTTACCCGACTGCGCAATGCAAGAGCGCGAAGCGCGACGCGCAGACAGGGTATAGTGTTTAACAGTCTATGTATGTATGTTTTTTCATTTGTGGCACACTAGAGACCAAACGCCTGGATCGATTTTGATGATTCATACATCAATCGATTCGTCTCAATCATGGGAGTGCTACTAAAGATATGATAGGTATTCAAAATTCAATATGGGCAAAATTAGGCACCATATTGTGACGAAGTAAAAAAAATAAGTTGACAAAATATGTCGAGTGGGTTATCACTGTCTAGATAATCGAAAATCATGTTTAGGTTTCTAACACCATTTTTCATTTTATATGATTGTTTAGGATCTACAATGCTTTAAAGTTGTATAATAACCACTTGCGCTTTTAATTTCAATCTTACGTTTGTATGGATCTTTGTAACTCTTTCACCTAAAAATACTGAATGGATTTTAATGAAACTTAACAGTAATATAGCTCATATATGATAATAACATATATATAATAATCTATATAGTTATTGAGTGAATTGGCCTAAATATAACAATAAGTGTCACATAAAACGGAAAAAAATCTTCCATCTGCGAGCCATTTTGGCCTGCACTGCAAAAACAATAAAAGTTACATGAATATAATGTACAGTGAAAATGTATCTTTTAAATAGTTCTCCAAAAAAGTCCGCGACACCATATATCTATTTTTAATGTGAAAGCCATTACCGCTAAAATAGTGAATCAAAACTAAAATATTATTTGATATCTATTCACAAAATGCACATTTTGTATTTACAAATTATTTTTTATCAAAACAAATACTTTTATCGCTTTTGATATTTAAAGACGATAAACTTTGCCTTTTACACTATGTCATTTCGACAAATATTTAAAAAGTTACAACGATGACAAAGTGATAGCGCGGTGTACTATGTAGGAGTACTAAGAGTAGACTGCGGGAATACTAATAATAGAAGAAATTTATTTAGGTGTTTATAAACGTGGATAAAACCTAGACGAAAAAGAAAAAATGGTCTACTCGCAGTATCTGATCCTATACGAATAAGTTACAATAAAACTGTGATACAGTTCCTTCTTATTAAATGATGAAAAATAAATTATCATAAAAGGTATTTATGATTATTGAATTTTAATGAAATACTCAAAATTATACTATTTTTTTTAACGATATTACTTAATGTTACAAAAAAGGTTTATTTAATATAATGACAAATAACCCATTTTTCGCTAGTAGGTACATACTTATTGGAATTCCTGTATTTATTAATCAGCTTGCGATAATATTGGTTTTGTAATTATAAACGATAATTCTGCACTATTCAAAGTAAATAATATAGATTTTTATAGGTAAATCACCCCTTTCATTACCATACGCCTATAAGTATTGCGATGTTGTAGCTAAGAATCAAGTTCCTATCTACTTCTATAGGGGAATTCATTATAATCGATTTAGCTATTAGGGCACGGAAGCGCAACAAACAAACTCACTTTTGCATCTATAATATTATATTATACTTTATACTAGTGATCCACCCGGGCATTGTACGGGCGAAATTTATTTTATCGGGATAAAATATAGCCTATGTCACTCGGACAAAATGTATTTTTAAAATAAAAAAAAATGTAATAATAAATAATGTAGCTACCTTATGATGAATTAATATTTGAAACCGGTTCAGTAGTTTCACAGATTGTTATTAGTATAGGCTAATATTATAAAGAGGCAAGATTTGTATGTTTGTAACAAATAATCTGTCAAACTACTGAACCGGTCCAGGTTGCAGGTTGCAACAGGTTGCCAACCAAAGTTAAGCGAACCATGGGTCGCCTTGCTAGCAGCGTAACTTGTTGTCTAGCTAGCAGCCTAGCTGGTTGCCTCGCTAGCAGCCTAGCTTGTTACCTTGCTAGCAGCCTAGCTTGTTGCCTAGCTAGTTACCTTGCTAGCAGCCCAGCTAGTAGCCTAGTTGCCTAGCTAGCAGCGTAACTTGTTGCTAGCAGCCTAGCTGGTTGATTAGCTAGTTGCCTCGCTAGCAACCTAGCTCGTTGCCTAGCTAGTTGACCAAGCTAGCAGCGTAGCTTGTTGCCTAGCTATCAGCCTAATTTGTTGCCTAGCTGGTTGCCTAGCTAGTTGACCAAGCTAGCAGCCTAGCTTGTTGCCTAGCTATCAGCGTAATTTGTTGCCCAGCTGGTTGATTAGCTAGTTGCCTCGCTAGCAGCCTAGCTTGTTGCCTCGCTAGCAGCCTAGCTAGTTGCCTAGCTAGCAGCCTAGCTTATTGCGTTGCTAACAGCCTAGCTTGTTGCCTAGCTAGTTACCTCGCTAGCAGCCTAGCTTGCCTTTCACAATATTGCAATATTGACCCTGCCCGCATTCCAAATAGCATCCAAATCATGAACTAGACCTATGTCTAGCTTTATTATTAAGCTTTTTAATAAAAGCCAAATGCATTTTCAAATTTGAACTCTCTACTACTTCAGTTTGAAGAAACTATTCGACTTGTACGTTAGTTTAAAAAAAAGCATAAGCTAAAAAAGCATATATATTATGCATAAAGGTACCTAGTTGAAGAAATTTACTTTTGATTGGGCAACAGGTTGCAACAGGTTAACAGGTTGCCCAACCAAAGTTAAGCGAACCATGGGTCAATCAGGACTGACCCATGGTTCGCTTAACCCATTATTTATAGAATTATAAGAATAGAGTGGGGAAGGTGGCTCTAAAAGTAAATCCGTCCGTCTAGTAAAAAATTAAAAAAATCAAAAAAACCCGACTGCTTAATTGTACTTCAAATAAAAACTGAAAAGAAAAAAACAAGTCCAGTAGTCTATAATTCTGTTAATAAGGAACAAAGCTACTGTAAGGGCGTTTTCAATTTATGCGTTTCTTGACGGCCTGCTGCGGTGCCGAAGCGGTGCGGTGCGTTTGTCGCGTACGGACGATCCTTTTTTTCACACAAAACGCGTGGTGTGGCAACAGTGCGGTGCCGGTACAGCAAACGCTCGACAACAGGACTGTTGCAGCTGTGAAGCAGTGCCGATTTTCAGTGACATCAACTGCTCAATGCTTCGGAAAAATAGGTTAGAATCATCAGACCCGCTTTGAATTTAATTAGTGTTTTAAGAGTCCTAAAGGACTCTTCTTCTAAAAAGAAGCTAACCTTTTTTCGTGATTAAAAGTACGTATCCTGTCTCATTCCAGGTCATAAACTATTATGTGCTTACCAAAGGAGATTGCTCAAATTGGCCCAATAGCACAAAAAATATTGACATACACGGTAATTCTTGGCGTAATTTATAATTTTATTTACAGTCATTAGATTTCAACGGACACCTTTGTATAATATATTTACTTTAAAAAGGACTTTTAATTTTACCGGTTTGGAAAACATACGAATCATTTTTAATGGCTATGGGTGTAGTAACATTCAGCCAAAGACTGATCGAAATTGTTTATATAACATAAAAACAAATCTACACTTCTGGACACATCTATTGGCCCACCTTGTATTTTCAGTTTCGTTTGGTCCTAGCTAAAATTTTATATTAGGTCGAGCAAAAAGTTTTTATGCAGTTTTGAACCTGGTACATTCACAATTTCATTCAATAGTCTTTTTTTGGATTTCGAACACAGAATTTAAAGAAACAAAAGA